ACAAAGTTAGGGAGCAAACGTACAATTTTAACCAAACCATAGGGACTATTTCAGTAATTTACTCTTTCTATAATTATCGATACTTACTTAATTAACCTGATACCTAACTTCTTAGATAAAAATTCTTTAAAATCTTGAATTAATTATCTATAAGTCGTTCTTGAAATCAATTTTACATATCTATATATATATAATAAGAGTTGATGTTGTTATTTTCAACTAATAGTTATGTATTTATTCAAACATTGTTCTTCAACCATTTTAGGCAACATACTTCCCTTTTGTACATAATTATGTTAGAATAACATATTTAGTTATATGTATAATGTGTTTTTATGCTTTCTTAACATATTTAAGCATATATATGACAAGGATTACAATTTACGACTCGTAAAAGATGCTTATATCTTTATAACAATTTACTTATAATCTTGTGATTTTTTTAATATTAATTAATATATCACGCAAAGTATAAATATATCCTATTTTAGCAATCTAATTTAACTCAATAAAGTTATTGGTGATTTATCACATTTTAAATTGCTATTTCACAACATTCAAACGATAACTAACTACAATGCCCTTTTATGTATAAAAACTTGTAACACATCAAGATTTTTTATAAATATACATGTATTATCCTACAAATATGAAAATATAAAAGAGGGGTCATAAACACTCACGCTTGATGCGTGAGTTTCTTTTGTTTGGAGTTGGCTCATTTTTGTGAAGCTTCACGTGAGAAATTGCATCTTGACAACTTTTTGAGCTATAACAACCCCATGACTATTTTTGTAATATTTTTAGCTAAAAAGGCTTGTTTTAAAATAACTTGAACTTAAAAGCGTTGTTTTGTAATTAACTAATGCAAGCGACTGTTTTTGGAATAAGTTATATCCAAATCATTGGAGGGGCTATTTTTTATTTATTGAAATAACCTGGACCATGGGCTGTTGTAAATAATTCAAATCTTTGGAGGGGTATTTTTTTTATTATTATAAATAAGTGGAGAGGATGGATTTTCAACTCCATGAAACGAAAAGAGATCATGATCCTCAGTAGATCGGGAAGAAAAAACATGGAGGAATGCAGTCAAAATGGTGGTTCGGTGGTGGTAGGTCAATCGTTGTGAAGAGGGAGAGTCGACAACCACCCATTTCTGGTGACCCATTATGGTCATCTTCTCATTGCTGGTAGCATCGAATCGAAGGAAATGAAAGCAACAATATGGGTGGATCGATGGTGGCTGAGAATCACATGGGGATGGAGGCGGAGGACCTATCGTCAAGAGGGAAAAGCACCTCCAGTGCTTGACTGGATCGAAGAGGGTGGAGAATGGAAACAAAGGACCAACCATCAACTTTTGCAGCTAAAGGGGCTGCTTCAGCGGCCTTCTTGGTGGTTCCCTTTTTCTGGTTTGATAACATAACATGAAGGGAAATAAGTGAGTGGGTTTTATGATTCTTTGTTAATCGGAGAGGAAGATGAGGACAGGAAATGTTTCCGGGGAGATTGGGTTTACGTTTCTCGATAATCCCAGGTGCGTTCGGTAGCTCCGGCTAATAAAGGAAGAAGAGGGGTATTAGTACACGATAACTAGTGTATGGTACCACAAAAAGTAAGTAATTGATAAAATTAATTCAAGGTATATTCACACCCTAATTCACACTTGAAATACTTTATCACAGCCAAATGTTAAGTTTTAACAAGAGCACTAATATTGTTGTAAATGCCAACGAAATTATATCTTCATTTCATAAGATAAACCCAAGTATGGCGAGTATAATCATATATGAAATATACATAATAAGTTGACCCACGCTTTGTGGATACAGGTGCAACACCCCACACATCAGAATGAATAATATCTAAAGGAGCAATAGAATAAGACATCTATTTTTGAAAGGTAAAGCAAAGAATCTTGCCAGTTTATGACCAGTATAATCAGAAATATCACAAGTGTTCAAATGACCAAAATCAACACTAGATGATAGAAAACATAAACATGATACAAAAACATGTCCCAAACAAAAACGCCAAAGATAAACATTAGACGCCAAAGGATTCAAACAAAAAGAAGACAAATCAATGTTGAAAACAACAACAATAGACACTTTGAGAACCTCTAAGACATACAGTTCCCCTTAACCTGTGGCTAATCCCAATAAAATTTTGGGTATGTTGATCCTACATAACACTGACTGAATCAGAAATAACACCTAATTACCATAATTACATAGCTGACTGATGGAAGAAAGATTCAAAGTGATTTTGGGAATGTAATAAACATCATAGAGAGAAATATCAGGGATAGAAACAGACCCAACATGTAACATCTTGTTTCAAGAAGTTTCTTATTTCGAGATTTTGAACAATTAAAAAATCAAGTAAATCCTTGGGTTCAAGGGAATTGGGTTTAGACCCTATTCAATGTTGATAATATTGGTTATACGATCAAAGCCCTTGGTTTATGTTTTGGAGTCAAAGGGTAAAATGGAAAAAGTGATGTTTCAAACTTCTTTCTTGGAATAAGGAGTTTAGTTCAGTATGTTTTAAGTTAAAATTTATTAGATAGGATTATGGACTCTTCAATACCTTTTCATGCATTTAAAGAATGCCAAAAACGTAGTTGAAACGAAGAAGTTATGGTTGTTTGAAGTTAGGAAAATGAAGTCTAGCAGTACGTTGGGTTTACACTAGCTAGTATGATGGTCGTACTAGGCTGAAGTAATGGGTATTTAGGGAATTATGTTGGGCATAATTTTTAGTATGCTGGGCGTACTTTCGCATAGTAAAAACCTTATTTTCATTGTTTTGATCCCTACTTAAGGTCTCTAAACCCATAGGGTCCTTCCTATCACGAGTCTCCATTGTCTTGAGACTCTAACTCGAAATCTTAGCCTCATCTCACTTATTTTGAGCCTTCGCATATTTATGAGCTTATTTCTCCATTAGAAGGTGGGATCTTGAAGAACAAGGTGACAAAGTGTATGGAAGAAGGATTCAAGCATAGATCTAACAAGATTACATCATTTTTGGACCTTCATGAGTAAAAAGCTTCAAACTTGCTCATAAGTTTCATAGATCTTGATAATTTTCATATTTTTTTCACTTTTTGGTCACTTTAGTGCATAAAGTTTAGATCTTGAAATTTTATGACCTTGTTATGGATAAAATTGGAAACTCTCTCCATATAAACATCATATTGCTTCAGATCTAAAGGTTCGAGCCTTAGACTTAATCGATTAAGTTGAGAAAGATACATTTTAGTCCATTTGAGACTTAAAGACTAGATCTTGGTTATTTAGACCATCCTAATGGATAAAGTTTGAAATGTTATCCACTATAGAGCTATGAGGAACCATAAAAATGGGATATTAGTCCCTTTATTCCCTCCATGCAAGAATTATGATGATTTGGTTCATGTATTAAGTTAGGATTTTGGTGTATAGACTCCTTCTAGCCATGGAAAGTCTTAAAGTTGGAAACTTTATGACATAGAATATTATTTGGGACTAGATTTGAGCTTTGGATGTGAGATCTTAATGATATAAGCACTTAATGAAGGAAAATGGAACTGAAGGAGTATGATGGGCATACCTGGTGGTACACTGAGCGTACCAAGCTAGAGCCCTGTAAGTAGGAAGGGATCTACTATACTGAGCATAGTGACAAAGTATGTTGGGTATACTTATTTTGTGTTAACCACCTTTGATTTTTGACTCTTTGACAAGGAATTTGATCAAGTTTGAATTAGGGGAATTTTGGGTGTGTCACTATTTATTGTATATGTAACCCATAGAGTTGGCATTTGGAGCAACATTCATTTATGCTATCTTTTAGATTGTGAGGTGAATTTTCCTCACTGTACTTGGGGGTCGGAGACACCAATGTCGGGTCGGTAAATAGTGTATTCTGTTTTGATTTGTTGCTATACTATGGTGAACTGTTAAGATCTACATGATTATCTAGTTGTTATAGTGTTTTCTTATCTATTATATATGTCAGCATAATATGGTTGGGTTGAGACTGTACTGCTTTGTGCTGCTAGTCATCAAACCCAGGCAATCCAACCGAAAGGTTGTGGCTTAAGGAAATCCGACCGGACGATTATGGGCCAGGGGTAATCCAACCAGGAGGTAGTGGACCCAGTATGTATTAGGTAATCTAACTGAAAGGTCGTGGGCTAGGGAAATCCAACTGGAAGGTTTTGGGCCAGGGATAATCTAATCAGGAGGTTGTGAATCCAATATGTATTAGGCAGTCCAACCGAAAGGTTGTGAGTCATGGAAATCTAACCGGAAGGTTATGGGTCAAGGGTAATCCAACCAGGAGGTTTTAAACCTAGTATGCGTTTTGTATATTTTCTGGTGTGTGGTGGTACCTTAGGGAACTCACTAGGTTTATAGAACTCACTAGGCTTACAGTTTTAATTTTATGTTTCAGGTACTTTAGATGATCGGGACAAGGCAAAGGCTTGATCAAGCACATCATCCTTGATTATTATGAGATTATGATTTTAGGATACTTTGATTCATGTTTATGACCTTTGGAAACAATGATTTGTAAACACTTATGGCTTTGGATTGGTTTTAAAAATGAAAAGTTTTACCTTGATTTTTCGTATGTTACACAACACCCTCAACTGTCATATATGTATCACTAGCAGACATAATATATATAGTTGAAATGTGTGACAAAGAAGTAAACGATGATGAAGAGTCGTAAACTCTTAGGATCGATCAAATTCAACAAGTATGAAAAATCAAAAACAAAATATAAATCAAGAATGTGCCGAATGATTATAAATCACAATCTCAGAAGAGCTTGACAAAGAACTCCTACTGTAGAGATGTGTAGGGTTTACATTGACATGATTACTTAAAACACGATGCGTGCATGCACCTTAAATAGTAAAACCTTAATCATTACACATGAGTGGACAGGCGCAAATCGTATATACAAAAGACTAAATACAAAAGGCCCAGTAGACACAACACTTAATACTCAACAATCCCCCCCCCCCCCCCAATTTGCATCGATTGAGGCAAAAGTCCTTCACTGTTGAGTTCGCTTCTACACTTCAAAACTTTTGGAATGAAATCTAATAGAACATTGAGAACATGGATATACCTTAGAATCATATCCGAAAAGCACTTCTTGTCACTTGTGTTGTTACCATTGTACTTGTTGACCATATCCAACACATACTCCAGGAAAGAGGTAGTGAACAGATGCTTATCAGCAAGAAAGAGGCAAGCCTTATGAAATTCTGCATTGTTTCATTATTTCATCTTAAAGGCTACATACCATCCTTCCTTTTGTATCTTCCCAGGCTTGAATTTCTCAAAACCTCCTGGGACTTCTTTAGGTAGCACACAAGGATTCCTTCGCAGCACAGTAGCAATCTCTACATCCATTTTTCCTACCTCTTTAATGTACGAGATTAACATCTGCATGAGGTGAGCAATAACGGACTCATACTTCTGTCCATCTCTAAGAAACAAGTTGTAAAGCTTGATCCAATGATAAGGGTTAAGGCAAGCTACATCAACGAGCATAAACTCGTGGACCTGACTAGAAGAATTCGTCACAACCTTGAACTTCACATTTGGGAAGATGTCGGTTTTGATTGGAAAAGTAACCTTGATTGTCGTAATCTTGCTCACACTCCACGTCTCATACTGTGGCTTCATATTCTTGAGATAGAAGGAGAAAAGTAAGTGGTTTGCATCGCTATTTGTAGATGGGAAATTCACTACTTTCACAAAGCTGTGAAACCTTAAGGATTTCGGAGTTATCGATAGGTCTAGGTGCGAATATTGTGAATTTAGAAGATCGAATGACACAACCGGTTCTAGGCAATACTGACTCGGCGTATCCACAACTTCACTTTGAATTCACTTCAGAGTCCACACTGGAAATAAAAGCTTTCGGATTTCCAGTGTGACCTGAGGTTCGCGTTCAACTTTTTCTTTCTCTTCAGCCTTGCGAATTATTATTTGATGCTCATCCATCTAAGCTTCACGTTCCTTTATTCTCTTAGCTCATTTTCATAAGGCTCTTCATCTTCACTATTGTCGATAATCGATTCTTCACTAAAAATATTTTATTTGACTTTAGCCTTAGTTTCACTCTTGATAGTGGGCTTAAGTGAAGGTTGGGGGTCTTCCTTCTTGGATTGTTTCACTTTTTCTTCCCTTGTTTCGGAATTGAGCTTAATTCCGGAACACCTTCCAGTCTATGAAGCATGACAAACATGGGCCTCAGTTTATCATAAATATGTTTCTTTACAGTTATTGTGATCATTGAGTCATGAGACTCAATAATATATGAAACCAGGCCATTGACATCAGCTATACAATTATTCATAGAGACTTTCTCAGATAGAAGATCACTAACTTGTTTTTCAGCATTCTCTAACTTGACCGTCAAGACTTTCACCTTTCCAGTCTTTAAAGAAAGAGCATCCATGATTTTGCTCTCGACGGCTAAGTCCTCCTGAAGCTTTTTGATTTTCAAGGTAATGGAGGAATTGAACTCAACATGGTCAATTTTAAGACCAGTACGAACCTCTTGAAGTTTTGCTTTCTCTGTTTTAAGGGTTGAGCCTAGGCTAGAAATGACTTCATTAGCCTTCACAGTGTTAGACTCAAAGGAGCTCTAGAACTCCTCCATGAATACACGTGCATCATTAATTAGTTTATCGACTTTTTTGGTCATATTGTTGCAAACAGAAGCAGAAGCATCTACCACCTTGTTCATCTTTTCAAGGTTAGCAGAGTGCTCTTTCGTAAGGGTCTCAAGAAGGGACTTTATTGTGGCTTGAAAATAATCATCACTGGATGATACCTTAGAAGCTTGAAGCAACCAATCCATTTTTTCATGAATCGCCTTGAGTAGCCCTCTCGTGATGGGAGCTTCGTCATCACTTTCAGTCCTGATGTTGAATGAACTGTAGGTGAATCCTGCAAAGTCGTCATCATCATCACCATAGATCATTTCTAGATCATTCTAGCGTAAAGCAGAAACGGGTGGTGTGGAATGACCAGCTATGAAACCTAAAGCTCCTGCCCTCGCATTAGATGCATTGACAGTAAGTGGAGGCTCAATCGGGGATGTAGTGGTGGTTGTAGTGGAATCATTGAATAATGGAGGTTGGGATTGCGAAACGCCCAAAGAAATAGGTGGGAATGGGGAAATGGAAATAGGTGTTGAAAGAGTAGCAATTGGGGAAGGGGTTGAGACATCTCCAAAGAAATCATTCGTGATAGGAACTGAGACAGGAATCTTAAGGGTTACCTCTGGGTTCGAAGATGTTGGCTCCGAAACCTTTGGATGAGATGAAATCTTATCCTCGTTGTGTCCCCCTCATTTGAAGATGAACATCTGAAACTGTTTGAGACTATGAATCATCTTGATCGATTGGATTTGGAGTTCGTATGCAATGAGACATCTTCTTGACTCTTGTTCTCTTTGGTGCTTTAGGTGGTGAGGATGGTTCAGCTTCAGGATTTCGCTTTCCACCCTTCTTAGGAGATGGGGTTGACTCAGACGAACAAACCTTTGTGTCCTTCTTATTCCCTCCCCTATTGGGTTTATCCTCCTCCTCCAGGACCTTTTGCATTCTGTTTGTCTTTGGGAAAAAGCCTGAGAGGGGTTGAGTGCGATAGGCTTGCATCACATCACTTGTAGCCGGTACATCACAAAGCATTTCTTCAGGAATCAAACCGATGAAGTTGAATTTTGAGTTCTTAGCAAGAATGATATTTGTGGTGTGGAAGGTCTGAATAGAAGCCAAAGACGATCCTTCCAAATAGGGGATGTTCAACTAGTTAATTTCCCTTTGAACCACGATTAACCAGAAGCGAGCACATGAAATTTCACTATGTTGAGTTGTTGTGAGAGTACTTTGCACAAACTGAGCCCAGAGGACAAACCAATAGTCCAAGTTGATGCCTGAGTATATACCATACATCCTTGTCATGAAGAACTTGCTCGCACGGTCCGAGCCAGTGACCCGTTCAGAAAGCTATTGAAGAGTAGCGTAAATAAGTCTTTCCACATCGGTAGCAAGTTAGGCTTTTTGAACTTTGAAATAGCACTGATTGATTCCTTGTAGCCTATCTGGAAGAACATCTCCAAAATCAATGAGGTTAAGATGATTTATGGGTTAATCAAGTCACGACCCAGAGGAAGCCGAAGGAGCTGACAAAATCTTGATTTTGTGCCATGGGTTTATGATTGTTGATTTCGAATGTGACCAATTCTTCCCCTTTTTGATAACTGGTTGTGGAGTAGGCCTTTGAAAGATACGTCAAGGGGAATGCTCTCTGAATTAGTGAGAGAAACAACAAGTGGAGAGTATTTTAAGCATTCGAGGATGCGCTGTAGAGACTCAACGTATTTGGTGGGTTCTAGATCGAGAATCATGTCCTGATTGGCTTTGATGTTGAGAAGTAAAGACTAACCCATGGTTACTACAAAAAAAGGAGTCTCTGAAGAAGCTGCCATTGATGAATGAGAATGAAGAAGATGAAGAGTAGACAGAGAATAATCGCCAGAATATTTCTTTGCTTTTTGAAAGTGGTAATTGATTATTGAAGCGTTGAAATCATTTTATACGGTGTAGGAAGTGAGAGAATCTATTGATTGGTTGCATCAATAATTGAAAAGTGGCCTAAAAAAGCGTGACTGACAGTTGTGACGTGCGTCAGGCAGCGTGAAATCAATGTCGTTTTAAATCATTGTCATTTCAAATTCTCGTGCCCAATCTTATCTTATTAAGGTGTCGTGTCAGATATGTGCTTTTGAAGTTGAATCAGTTATGAACTTTCGCAATTGATTTAGGAATAAACTTTCACAGTGATGGGTATCAACAAGTCTGCCAAACTGAAAGTAAATGTAAGTGCCACGCACCAGACTTTTGGAAAATCATAAGGATCTTCGTGCGTGAGTGTACCAAAGATAAATAAATAAAACAAACTTTTGTGGGATATTTGTTATGTTTTATAAAGACACAAAGTAGTGTATCCCGGGAAAAGATCTCTTCCTTTAGATTCAAGAGAGACTCTAAAGTGTCTGTGTGCTTTCCCATTGAATTACGATCACTTGTTTGTAAAGAAACAGTGAAAGGCATCTTTTTATTAGGCTTTTAGGGTGGTTTAGTCTTCAACCAAACTACAAAACTTGATATAAGTACGAATGTTTGTAGAAGTACTTGTTTAACCCGTGTAGTCATAAAAACAAGTATGCTTTGAAATTATTTTAAGTGACTAGGATATGAATAAAAATCTAAAAAAAACACCTGAATCTATTAGGAAGAAATGTTAAATCCTTAAGATCACAAAAAAAAGGAAAAGACATTTCTTGTTACTAACCACGAAAGTGGACATTCGTTAATTCCATGGTGAAATATCTAGAACATGTAAATTGTTCACCGTCAATACATATATGTCTGTTGGATTATGGGTTTCACTCAATTCGTGGTGATAAGAAATTTAAGATCATAAACACAGAATTGATTATAAACATACACCTCAATGTTAATTTTTGAGAGTCTCAAGGGTTATATTTTTTAATGTGAAAGTTGATGGAGAAATGGTATGAGGTGGTTCCAAAGAAAGATTGTACCTTTGCCATGCGCAAGTAACAATGTAGGTAACTCTTAACTCGAAGTGAGAAGAGTCACGTAGCTCATGAATTATGCGAATTAAGAGCCTTATTGGGAAGAAACGATTGGTGTAATCGATTCATTAAGGCTTCAACATAAAAAGTCGTTGAGGCTTTGGTATACATGTAGCAACATGCTTCTAGGGGCACTTAACTAGTGCATAGATAAGAAAGTTTGTACCTGCCCCATCTTTCGTAATTGAGATCACCAAGATCCGTGACTTGAAACCTACGCAATTATCCAATATTTTTGGTAGTTTTTAAGTAAGTAAAATAAAAGTGAAGAAAATAATGAAGATATTTTTGTAATTTTGTTTTTGTGAAAAGAAATAAAAACGAAAAGAAATAAAATATTTTTGGATTTTAATGTTTTAAGAAATAAAAGTAAAAAAACACAAAACAAAGAAAATATTTTATGACTTTCGTTTTTATGAAAAATAAATGAAAACAAAATAAAGTAATAAAAATGTACAAAGGGTACAAAAATTCCAAACCACGAATAAACAGTTGACTATGATTCACTACGAACATTCACACCAATTCACGGTGTGAACAGTTGGTTGCGAGTCACTACGGGCGTTCGCACCGATTCGCAGGATAAAACATGACTGCGATTCACTACGAGCATTCACACCAATTCACAAACCACTTAAAAACTTATGACTAAGAAGGTGGTTTCAGAACGGACTCAACTGCTATCATTCCTAAGCCTTGAAGAATTCAATTGAATGATTGTTCATGCAAGGCTTTCATGAATATTTCAGCTAACTGATCAGCAGATTTTACAAAGCGTATCTCGACATTTCCATCTTCAACGTGATCTTTGATGAAGTGATACCTCAGTGCTATGTGTTTCATTTTTGAATGTTGCACTGGGTTGTGACAAATGCGAATGACGCTTTCAGTGTCGCAATATAAGGGGATTCGTTTCATATTGATGCCATATTCACTAAGTTAACTCTAAATCCAAATGACTTGTGAGGTGAAGGATGCAACAACTATGTATACTACTTCAGCAATCGAT